AGTTTGCCAATACCTATTCTCTAGGATATCTCCAGTCAAACTGCCTTCCTTTGTAAAAAGTAGGCACAACTTAGCAGAATACTGTAAGGGTTTTCTGTAGAAGAATATAGCCTGGTTTTAGAGTCATAGTGTGAAAATCATTTATTCCGAGTTTCCCAAGGACAACCACTGAACCCCAAGAGCAGCAAATTCCAGGTTTCATGAAAGGTCATTGGAGTTGAATCCAGAAGGCCCCCTGTGGCCATCCAGACACAAAGGGAAGCAGCAGTTCTAAAAGGCAATGGCAGCATCCTGTTCTTTCAGAAATCATCACAGGGTATTGACCAGAAGTATCTCTGCACTTTGGCACCCTCATATTTTATCTTCATCCATAAGAGATAAGTGAGACCCCAGGAAAGACTTAATCCTCAATATTTTCATATCCGGTGCTGTGCCATCTGGCATCCCTATCTCATTCCTAGATCTAGACATTTTGCCAAGGTCTCTCCATGATTTCCTTCCCTCCTCAAAAATGGTTGTGGTTTTCAACCTTCACTGGTAGTTGTGTCCAAGAGATATGTTATCTTATGGTCTCAGATTGCTTCCAAAGTCCTTTTCCAACCAGTATTATTTTTTTATGCACCATTTATTTTTTGTGTGGACCATTTTTTAAGATTTTATTTAATTTTTTACATTATTGCTTCTATTTTATGTTTTGTTTTTCTTTTTGCATCAAGGCATGTGGGATCTTAGCTCTGACCAGGGATCAAAGCTACACTCCTGGCATTGGAAGGTGAAGTCTTAACCACTGGGCCACCAAGGGAATCCTTCCGATCAGTTTTTGTAAGTGAGGGAAGTTGCAGTGATCTTGAGACAGAAAATAGTGTGGCTGTGGTTTGGAGACCAGGACGGAGGATGCTGGTCCAGGAGACACCATATCCTCTGAAGATCAATCATGAAATCCTTCACTCAAAGACGTGTTTTAAAAAGCTGTTAGGTGTCAATGACTGGCAAGCTCATCATCCAGTAGAACAGATGCACTGCAGGACCCATGGAAAAAGGATAAACCAATGGCCTCTGAGGAGGGCACACTCCCTGGGCAACTTAATGGAAAAGGGGAAGATGGAATTGAGTGGAAAAGTGGGGCTGGAGGACGCTAGTCAGCGAGGGGAATTCATGGAATTTTTACAATGAAAAAATCCTTTAAAACCGAGTTATTTAATACCTTCCTGAAATGAATTGGTGGCAGAACAAGTCTTTTGACTTCATAATTGAATGCTCTTTCATTAAAGTGAAGAGTAGATAAAGGACCTTTAGCCAGTGTCTCCAGAGCTTGAGGGAGGGGATTTTGTCATTACGTTACTTATTTATTTTTAGCTGTGCTGGGTTTCCATTGCTATTTGGACTTTTCTCTAGTTGTCAAGAGCAGGAGCTATTCTCTAGGTGTGGTACAGCAGCTCTCATTCTAGTGGCTTCTCTCGTTGCAGAGCATGGGCTCTAGGGCACGTGGGCCTCAGTAGTTGCGGCACATGGGCCCAGTAGTGGCAGTTCCCAGGCTCTCAGTTCAGTTCAGTTCAGTTCAGTTGCTCAGTCATGTACGACTCTTTGCGACCCCATGAATCGCAGCACGCCAGGCTTCCCTGTCCATCACCAACTCCCAGAGTCCACCCAAACTCATGGCCATTGAGTCAGTGATGCCATCCAACCATCTCATCCTCTGTCGTCCCCTTCTTCTCCTGCCCCCAATCCCTCCCAGCATCAGGGTCTTTTCCAATGAGTCAACTCATTGCGTGAGGTGGCCAAAGTACTGGAGTTTCAGCTTCAGCATCAGTCCTTCCAATGAACTCCTAGGACTGATCTCCTTTAGGATGAACTGGTTGGATCTCCTTGCAGTCCAAGGGACTCTCAGGAGTCTTCTCCAACACCACAGTTCAAAAGCATCAATTCTTCAGTGCTCAGCTTTCTTCACAGTCCAACCCTCACATCCATACATGACCACTGGAAAAACCATAGCCTTGACTAGATGGACCTTTGTTGGCAAAGTAATGTCTCTGCTTTTTAATATGCTGTCTAGTTTGATCAGAACTTTCCTTCCAAGGAGTAAGCATCTTTTAATTTCATGGCTGCAGTCACCATCTGCAGTGATTTTGGAGCCCAAAAAAATAAAGTCTGGCACTATTTCCACTGTTTCCTCATCTATTTCCCATGAAGTGATGGGACCAGATGCCATGATCTTAGTTTTCTGAATGTTGAGCTTTAAGCCAACTTTTTCACTTTCCTCTTTCATGTTCATCAAGAGGCTCTTCTGTTCCTCTTCACTTTCTGCCATAAGGGTGGTGTCATCTGCATATCTGAGGGTATTGATATTTCTCCCAGCAATCTTGATTCCAGCTTGTGATTCTTCCAGCCCAGCATTTCTCATCATGTACTCTGCATGTAAGTTAAATAAGAAGGGGGACAATATACAGCCTTGACGTACTCCTTTTCCTATTTGGAACCAGTCTGTTGTTCCACGTCCAGTTTTAACTGTTGCTTCCTGACCTGCATACAGGTTTCTCAAGAGGCAAGTCAGGTGGTCTGGTATGCCCATCTCTTTCAGAATTTTCCACAGTTTATTGTGATCCACACAGTCAAAAGCTTTGGCATAGTCAATAAAGCAGAAATAGATGTTTTTCTGGAACTCTCTTGCTTTTCCGATGATCCAGCAGATGTTGGCAATTTTACCTCTTGTTCCTCTGCCTTTTCTAAAACCAGCTGGAACATCTGTCAGTTCACGGTTCATGTATTGCTGAAGCCTGGCTTGGAGAATTTCGAGCATTACTTTACTAGCATGTGAGATGAGTGCAATTGTGCAGTAGTTTGAGCATTCTTTGGCATTGCCTTTCTTTGAGGTTGGAATCAAAACTGACCTTTTCCAGTCCTGTGGCTACTGCTGAGTTTTCCAAATTCGCTGGCATGTTGAGTGCAGCACTTTCACAGCATCATCTTCCAGGATTTGAAAGAGCTCAACTGGAATTCCATCACCTGCACTAGCTTTGTTCTTAGTGATGCTTCCTAAGGCCCACTTGACTTCACATCCAGGATGTCTGACTCTAGGTGAGTGATCACACCATCATGATTATCTGGGTCATGAAGGTCTTTTTTGTACAGTTCTTCTGTGTATTCTTGCCACCTCTTCTTAATATCTTTTGCTTCTATTAGGTCCATATCATTTCTGTCCTTTATCGAGCCCATCTTTGCATGAAATGTTCCCTTGGTATCTCTAATTTTCTTGAAGAGATCTCTAGTCTTTCCCATTCTGTTGTTTTCCTCTATTTCTTTGCATTGATTGCTGAGGAAGGCTTTCTTATCTCTCCTTGCTTTTCTTTGGAACCCTGCATTCAAATGGGAATATCTTTCCTTTCCTCCTTTGCTTTTCGCTTCTCTTATTTTCACAGCATGGGTAAATAGCTGTGGTGCACTGGATTAGTTGTTCCGTGGCATGTGGGATCTTCCCAGATCAGAGATCAAACCTGAGTCACCTGCACTGGTGTGCAGATTCTTTATACCACTGGGCCACCAGGGAAGCTGGCCATTAGGTTTTTAGAACACAGAATGCTTCTCCAGGAATCGCCATGTTTTTAGTGAGGTGGAAGCATGACCAGGAGAAGAATTTTGTATCCTGCTCTTCTATCAGAAGAGATACAATAGGCACAATCTCACTCCTGGGCTAATGGAATCACAACTTCAATGCTCATTGCTGCTCTGCAGGATAAAGTATCTCTGGTTTGCACTGTGGGCTGTGGGCTGAGAGCCACCCAAGAGAGTCCCAAGCCAGAGGCAGGAGATGGATCCTGGAATGACTTTTTCCCCCTTTCATTTCCAGCAGCTCGTTCTCCTAGGCTGTCACGGTGTTTTCTCTCCTTTCCTTGGTGCAGAATCTCTTACTGATGACTTTTAAAGTTTCTTTCCATCTCACTTGGAAAAAAAATCTATTTTGGATGGTGACCCCATAAACAGAGACAGGAAGAAAAGTGTGGAGTTCATTGAAATGACTTCAAATGGTCTTTTTTTGTTTTTTCTAAATTTTATTATTTTAAAAATGCATTGTATGGATAAGATGGTACCTGAGTTATAAGCAGGTACTGCCACATCCAACGGGATGCACATTGTGAAATGCTTGAGTTATGGTCTTGCCAAAGAGCAAGTCGCAGAGGAAGCTGGCAGAAATGGTGCCTAAAAGCAGGGGCCGTGACCTAGTACCCAACTCTCAAATAGTATCATTATCACCTCTGAGCATCACAGGGAAACAGGCCCTCTAAGAAAGAGGCTCCACTTCAAGAAGGGCCCCCGGACCCCACCTCTTGGGGGTTGCCAGCAGGTAAACCTTTGGAGGTGGAAATTTTACAGGGATGGGTCCCTGCCTTGGGCGTTCTGCACAACCCTGCATGTGCCGTCAATTCCCGTCCTCTGAAAAATGCAAGGACTGTGCATGTCAGTAGGTTATGGCCTGTGCTTCAGGGTAAATCTCCCAGTAATTGAGACCCCTGCCAGCCCTCTCACCTGGTCATCCACTAATAGAAGGGCAGCTTCACCAGAGACTCAGCAGTGAGCATGTTTTTCTGCTCACTGCCTCCCAAATAGCCCAAATGAATCTTCCGAAAGGCTCGAGACCACCTCAAGCAGAGAAAATATCAGCAGAGAAATGAAGGCAGGAATGACTGCTCTGTGTAGGCATCAATGTCTACTTCTATATATAGAAGGCAGCTACCCTTTCTCCATCATGTGGCCTGGAATATAGAGGTGTCCCATAGGGTGACTACCCTCCAGGAAAAAGAGAAAACACTAATTGGCAATATGCAATTGTTACCGTTAAAAGTCTTTTGAACTCGCACCAAATGTGTTTCTGTTGAGACTCAGAGGAGGCAGAGGAAGCTGAGAGTTTCACATGAGGAGTGTTAGCGAGTTTGAACTCATCCCTCTCCCTTGCTCTCTCCTGCCAGTCACAGGGAGCCTGAAACCCCTCTGACACCGCGAAGACGATGACAGACGCTCCCCCGAAGCCTCGCCAGCCGCCAGCAAGCGCATCGTTCTCCCTGTCAACCTGCTATCGAGAGGTGATCCACAGCCAGCTGCAACTGGCCTCATTTGTTAGTGTTCGCAAGCGTGAGCCGGAAGCTCTTTACCCTGAGAAAAGCGAGAACGGGTTCCTGAAATCAGGGGCCCTGTCATCAAGCCTGAGGTCTAAATGCGCCACCTCCGGCTGGTGATAGAGACTGGCTTATCCTTCCCTGAGCGCCTGCTTCTTCTCACTTCAAATATCCCATCCCTGGGAAGTGCAATCACAGAGGTGTGTTTTGGATCCAGAACACAGATGCTTTATTTTCTGGTCCAGTTTTCTTTCCATCACTATATGCCGCCTCCCTGTGGAGTGAGGGAACCCAGGGGCTGTGCCTTTAGAAGCACCTTGGACACGCGGCCTCAGGCAGAAGTGGTCCCTCTGTCATCCTTGTCCCCATGCATCTTTGTAACAAAGATGTTCACTCACTAGATTACGAGTTCCTAAGTTCTGTGAGCTGCTCTAACAAATTATTGAACCCAAGGAGTGAGCATCCTCTGATTTATAGCCAGTCAGTCAGAAGCCCCGGTTTCCCTTGTGGCTCAGCTGGTAAAGAATCTGCCTGCAATGTAGAAGACCTGAGTTTGATCCCTGGGTTGGGAAGCTCCTCTGGAGAAGGGAGGAGCTACCCACTCCAGTATTCTGGCCTGGAGAATTTCATGGACTGTATAGTCCACGGGGTCACAAAGAGTCAGACACGACTGAGCAACTTTCACTTTCACTTTTCAGTCAGAAGCCCAGGTGCAACCTGAGTTTGCAATTGACATCAGAAGTGGAGGGTGGTCTTGTGGGACTGAGCTCTTTACCCATGGAATCTCCGGGTAGACAGGATCAGAACTGAGATGAATTTTAGGATACCCAGTTGGTGTCCCCAGAATTGCTTGGTAGTGTGTGGAGGGGGGACTTGCTCCCACACATTGGAATTGGATCCAGAACCCAAAATAGCAGCCCTAGAGAACTAATACAGGGAAATTGAGCCCAAGCTCTTTCAGTCCTAACAATCTAGGTTCGTGGTTTATAACTTTGAGCATCACACACCCCTCTGAGAAAATGCTGAAAGCTAGGGACTCTGAAAAAAATATGCAAACACACAAAAGTTTGCAAACCATTCATGGCCTCAAGGATCTACCTATGGGTTCTTAGCATCCTATGGCCCCTGGAAGCTTGGACTTGATCTTTCAATAGGCAGGAAGACAAGCAGAATGAAATCCTTGGATGGGAATGAGACATTTCTGTAGAAGTCAGCCCTTAGCAAGAGTTAACATCTGAAAAGGATGCCATTCTCACTTTAATTCACATTCCCTGAAATTGACTTCAGTCCCTTGTTGCAAGAAAAACAAATTGATCCTTGGACTTTTTTTATTTCCTAATTGGATTTTAAAAATTTTATTGGTGTATAATTGCTTTAGAGAGTGAAGTAAGTCAGAAAGAGAAAAACAAATGTCATATATTAACACATATATGTGGGATCTAGAAAAATGGTACAGATGAGCCTTGGATTTTTACAAAGTGTCTTTGCACAGCAGAAGACTGCTCCCCCGCCCCCCCGCCCCCCCGCCCCCCCCCCCCCCCCCCCCCGCCAACTAGAGCATTTTCACTACTTTTCTGGCTTTGCTTGAAAATATGAATAAATGAGCTGAAGCTTAATAAGCTATGATTTTCAGGTAAATGTCCCTTTTCTTCCCAGATCTAAAGGATGAAAGCATTTGGCCATGTCATTTATTTGAGAAGGCACGTGGTATGTGATTGCTGAGGGAGAGAGTGACTGAGGTTCTAGTTCTAAAAACTCAGGGGTGGACTAGAAAACTCTAAGATTTATCACGTTTACCCTCAGTCTTCCTGGCTAGCCCACTTCTTGGTTAAGCACTTAGCATCACCCCCAGGGCTTCCGGTTCTCAGCTCTCCTCCACATTCTCCTTCTCGGATCCCCACCTCCACTTGCCCATCCTGTAAAATCAGCAGGTTGAAAAGATCTCAGTGGTCCCTTCCGACTAAAAAAAAAAAAAAATTCTATGATTTTATGATTCTCTGAATCCCAGTGCTGCGGGAGCTCTAATTTCAGGCTTGTCTTGAATTCTTGGCTTTGCTTCACAGAACAGAATAGCTTATGCTGCAAAATGCATCCCAGAAAGGAGCGCCCCAGAGACCAGAGCAGGGCGAATGCGGGCACACCAGTGCCGAGCGCAGCAGCCAGACGGGACGGAGGAGGCGGGCGCGGGCCGTGTCTGTGGACTGTAAAAAGCTTTGCTCGGCAATTCGGTTATGCTGATAATTGCAGGGCAGGGGAGCTGAAAGGGAGATGGTGTGGAGGTTGCGGTTAAGAGCCCTGTTCTAGGGGTTTCTCCCTGTCTTGATTCTCTTGGACAATCGGGGGAGCTGGCAGAGAACCAAGGCTAATCCTTCAAGGGGGCAAGTCGGCTTCCTTACCTACCTCATTTTAGGAGATGATTCATATGTCGTGGGCACAGTGCTGTTTTTGTTTTGATTTTATGTGTGTGTGTGTGTGTGTGTTTACAGCCCTGGCAAGTAGCTGGCCTTGACATGAGATGAAAAGCCATTGACTTACCCTTCCACTTAAGGGAGCATGTGTTCTCAGAGAGTTCTAGCAGACAGAAGGATAAGTAATGCACAATTTAAAGAACTTCTGTAAGAACTGCATGACATAAAATGGAGGTTGTCATATGGTAATCCAGTGAAATAAGGCACAGCAGAAGCCCTAGTTCTATAGACAAAAGAACTGTTTGATTAATAAGATCTAGGGATTTCCCTGGGGGTCCAGTGGTTGAGAATCTGAGCTTCCTCTCAGGGAGAGCAGGTTAGATCCTTGTTGGGGGAACCAAGATCCTGATGTTGTGCTCTTCAGCAAAACAAGACAAACCAACCAAGCAACCTCTCCAAAAAATGATCTAGCTTTGCCCTTGGCATTCAATGAGACCTGATTGCCAAATTTCTTTAACTCACGCCTTCCCTTACTTTAAAGCAGTGTAGAATTGCAGGTGTAATAACAATTACAGGGTGAGTTGGAATGGTAATAATAATAATGGTAATAGTTTTCTTTCAAAAGAAAAAGGAACCACATTCTCCAAAAACCTGTTTATTCTTGATTCTGAAGACTTTTCTCCTTGACAGTCTCTCCCATGTAGTTTGTTGGGTAAACAAGTTCTGGTCACAATAGTTGCTAATGATAATTTCAAATGTTGATAATGTTCTGAGTCAGACCTCAGAGCAGCTTTGTAAATCACTTACTGAAGAATCACTCACCCTGGGCCACCAAGGAGTGATTTTGTCTTCTTTTAATGTTTCCAGTGGACATCAAAACGATGGTGGAGCTAACTGGTCGGTCTTTCATGAGGTTGCCACAAAAGCAATTCCAAGTGCAGCACAGGTGAAAATATTATGTGTCACAGTCACATATAAATACATGTTGCAGAGATGCAATGGATAGCTTCAGGTGATAGAGTTATGAATGATTTCTGGCATCTTTTCTTTATGGTTTCTCCCCTAGGTTTTCTTCAATGAGTTTATGTTTTTCTTTTAAATGCTAAAATAAAGAATAAAATTGTCCCTAACAATCATTGAGTTAGTGCAGCATTTTCGTTCAACCATAGTCTTTTCTCTCAATTACAATTATGGTTCTTTTTACTAAAAGGCCCTTTAATCCAAAGGAGGGTCTTTCCCTGAGGTGTCCATTTCCTTAAATACACCTGGGAGAAGCCAGTCTGAAGTGTGTTAAAAGATAACTGAGGCATATTAAAAAAAATGTTAAGAGTTTATTTGAGCAAAAGTCAATTTGAGTCAGGCAGCACCAAACCAGAAGTCATTAGGAGTGCTCCAGGAACAGGGCTAGGGGAAAGATTTTATAAGAAAGTCACAGAAGCAAAACAAGGAAATTGTTGGATTGGCTATAGCTTAAGCATTTGCCTTATTTGGAAGAAACACATTGGCTGTTTGTGATCGGCTATCCTTCGGCGTTGATTTCTTAAACTTGAGGCACTTCAGGCTAAGTTTTGATTAGCTTACTAGGTTTCTAAAGACATGAAAGGCATCTCAGTCTAATGGCCTCTTTGTTTAATTAAACAGGTGGATTAGTTAATGTCCAGAGCCTTGTGGGATGACAGTGTGAGTGTTAAGAAATGCCCAGGAGCTTTAGAAGTGTCTTGGAAAATGAGGTGCCAAGGAGCATTGAACATAACCGATGGTCATTTGTGGTGAGCTACAAAAATCTTTCTTGGAGTTGATCTCTCCAGAATACCGGAGCAAAGAGATGCAACTGTCATCAAGTGAGAGGGTGAGTAGGGTTAAAAAAAAAAAACAGGCATGTGGTCCTCTCACTGCTACAGACAATTCCAAGATCTAGGTGAAGGTCGTGAGGAAGCCTGATGTTCTTTGGAAAGAACCTGCAGTGATGTAACAGCAAAGCATGTTCACCTTCCCCATTAAGATAAAAATTAAGACTTCAGAACAAGAAACATGCAAACTAACTGAGAAACACACATCTGATCCAAGAACTTGGCTTCCAATGCCTAATTTCTTAACTAGCCCCTAACAGGCAGGGAGAAACTAAACACCTCACCTCCTGGGTGGCTAAGGGGTTTTTCTTTTAATTCCACACTTTCAACTGATTTTATTTATTCTTTGGGTTAAGAAAAGAGAGAGAAATAGAAAAAGGAAAAGGTCTGTGACCATGTGCAGATCTCCTCTAGGGGGAACAGGGCTGACTGTTAGCAGAGGAGTTGTGTGTGTGTCCAATTCTACCTGAAAGCCAGCCCTGTTTTCTGCTGCCTTGTGGCAGACACATGAGTGATTTATTGCTTCTAACGTCTCTTAGCTTGTAATAAAGTTTTCAGCAGCTCTTTGTAGCTGCTGCAACCTCTGCCCCTACAAACATTCACACACACACACACACACACACACACACACACACTGACTTCACTTTGTTCTTTTTTCCCATAGTGTCAACTCATAAAGCTTTCATCAAGTCAACCAGCTGGAAAAATCCCATTGCTGAAAGAAGCATTCATTCAGGGTGGTAGAGGCGAACCACTGGGCAGGAGAAAGGCGAGGTGGAGAAGGGAAGAAAGTGGGCGGATGGGAGAAGTGTGTTCTGTGTGGGGAAGTGAGTGTAGGCCCCCCAGGGGTGTGCCCTCCTGA